GTTGGTTTATTCTCTTGTGGGATGGGAAAATCGGAACACCAGTTCGTGTCCAAGAAATGACTGTTTTGTATTTACATAGTTTTGGCCATTTATGTGACAGCCAAGGTGGCGGCCATTTTGTCGATCATGTGAGCTTTTCACTACTTCCGGTAGAACTCTTCGGTGTTTTGAAATAAACTTCCGGTTAGTGAAAGAAAAAAATAGAATCATCTTTTTATCGTCATAATGCAGGTAAGTTTTATGCTAAAATTATCAGATTTCTTCTTTTTTTTTTTTTTAATGCTTCATGCTATTATTATTTATAGTGTATATTCTAGCAGTCATGTTTACCATGCACTAAATTTTATATGCTGGTTTCACATTTTTGTCTTTGCAAATTTCTAGAAATGTACCAGATTTCGCGATAACAGACAATTTAAAAATCAACAAAGAAAGCGTACTTAGCTTTTTAACTTCGTAGACATTTAGAATCAATTATGAATTTACTTTATGAATATGTGTTTAATTTCTGTTTTTAGTCTGACATCTAACTACTTTTTTTTATTAAGATTTTTCTTTTGTCAGATATTCGAAAGTGTGTTATTAAAAAATAATCTCTGTCAGAGATACGAGTTCAAATCTTGCTGAATTTCAGACGTCATATGGATATTCTTGTGCCTACGTTGCTTATTTGATAGCCATAGAATAACCATCTGAGAGTTGCGATGAAAAGCAACAGAAAGACCCACAAAAAATAATGCAATTTCATCAAGAAATTCAGACTTAGTTTTTTTTTTTATTTAATAATGTTCACCCAACAAGGTCCAAGAGCCACTCAAGGTAAAAACTTAGTGTGTGGTGTTGTATTAGTACAAGAAAAGTCAAGAAGTGAAGTTCTTGGGGCTATGCAGGAAAAATGGCAGCTAATTCTAGACATGAGGTCAATTAGTGAATAATAACATTTTTCAGAGTTCAGTCAGAGATGTTAATGTAAAAGAGGAACCAGAAAAGCCTAATCCTAAACAGGAAACAAAAGATAAACCTCTACACTTGTTCAAAAAGATGGGGAGGAGTGTGAACAGGACGATAGGTGAACCTATCTATTTCTATTGAGTAAGACTAGGTACCTCTATTATTTCTCGAAAATCTAATATAGCATGACAAGAACGGTCTGAAAATTAACGAAAAAATTTTTTTCATGATAAAAGTTATTTCATTATTGAGAAGAAACACAAAAGATTTTTGAGTAATTTTGAAATTTTTACTCATTCTTAGCATGTCCGAAATTTTAGTTAAAAAACTTGTTTACAGAAAAAACGAAAAAAAGCTCTATATCAATATTTTTAAAATTTTAAAAATAAGTTAAATTCTTCGTTTAAAATTCGTTTAAAAATTAATTATACGTATTTCAATATTTATTCGAAGAAATTTAGGTTGGTTTAAAGTTTATTTAAAATATTTTGAAAGAAACTTTGAATTACTTTCTTCGTAAAAATGTTTTTAAAGATAAAAGAGCCGATTTCACGTTGCCGTTGATTGACAGAGTGTCTGACATCTATAAATTATTGACAGCTGACGTGAGATTCGTTCCCATGTGGAAGTGGACATATTATTTTTTTTTTAAGCGGACCTACTTAAGTAGTAACTTGTAATATTTAAAGTAAAAAAAAACTTTCGCCATTACAATTTTTTTTTTTTGTTAACTACTATGTACCATAGGTTTGTTGATACTCTCTGGAGAAATTTAAATACTATTAAAAAAACTAAAATAATAAGTTGCATTGTTTGAAATAATAGACCCTCTAAAGTCAATTCAGATTTGCTATTAAAAAAAAAATTCTATCCCCAAAGAAATAATAAACATAGTAAAAGTCATTTTGTCACAGCCTATATTCTCGAAAAAAAAATAAATAAATGGATTTTATTCATTATGTAATAAAAAATTAAATCTGGAAAAAACAGGTAAAGTTTATCTGAATCCCATGAAACAAGGTATTTTCTGAAAAGCAAACAATATGTTTCATTTAAAAGTAAAATTGGCAAATGACTGAAAAGTTTTTAGTTTTCTAATCACAAAATGTGAAACACACACAACCTGGGTTTTAAATTAAAACCCAGGTTGTAAATTTCCTACATTTTTCACCAATTTCAACCAAACATTACAGGACTACGATGAAAACTAGATGAAAGTACCTATTTTAACTTAATGAAAATGATGCACACGTGTTTCAGCAGGAACAGTTTGCTAAATTAAGGCCGTATGAAAGAACAACCCTTACTAGACAGAAACTCAATCCACGTGACGTTATTTTTATTGCACGCACCAAACTTCCGGTCTTCCGTAGATTTCATTGGTAAACACATTATTGACAAATTAATTTTTTTTATATACGAAGACTCATTAGTTTGTAATAAGCTTTGGAAATTATAATCTGTAAATATATATCTACTTAAAACAACATCCGTTAAGCTGTATGACCAAATTTTAGAAGAATTAACAACATAATGTAAAAATAAAACAATGGTTGCGGAAATAAAAAATAATTGTAGGTAATTGTTTTAAAATTCATTTTTTCATCGAAATATCTTTTTGCTTTCAGACAATATTGTCCATGTTTATTGGAATAAATAAAAGCAATTAAAAGCTTTTGAAATTAAATAATATTTTTTGTTTTATTGAGTTTTTGTATGTTACACTTCAGAGACGATTTTCAGGTAGAAGGCTCCAACTAAAAAAAACAAAAACATGATTTTGTTTCCTCAAAGCATTGTGCATTTAACTGATATAATCACTAAACTCCTAAGAATTGAAATTATAGAGTTTTCGTACAATTAGTTAGAGTGGGTAAATACATATAAAAAAAAAAAAATTTCTCTCCCGATGACTTTACTAAAAAAAAATGTATTTATAATAAGTTCCATCATTTTGTAAATAGTTTCTGAAAATTTCATTAAAATCCACAATTATTTTCATTTTTGCAAGATTTTCCAAATTAATGTGTGTCAAACGGGGAAAAAAACGCCCAAATGTTTAACGTTAATTTATCAATAAGCTGATAAAAAGAGAAACAAGGTCTTTTAATCAAAATTTACAATGTTCTAAAAAAAAGGAAAATTTAAAAAAATAAGTAAAAAATACTTTGATCTTTCCTCTAAAAAGTAACATAAGCATTTAGACCTTTAAAATTTTGTTTTTCATCAATTTGACATCTTTTTAATCATGCTATGCTCTTTTTTAGCGATCCAACAGAGATACCTAAGTAAGACTAATAGTTTAAATAAACTATAAACGTTAGATGCACAGAATGACAAATCTGAAAGCCAGATATGAATTCTGGTCAAGAGATTGTTAAATTTAGTTTTACAGAAATACACTTCAGTTAAAAATAGCAGGGTAAACTCAACTCTAGCTGTGGTTGGTAACCAGTATGAGAGAAGGGCAACTATGAATTGTTTGAAATTTATTTGTCCTTGTTTGTGTTTCCAGTGTCTCAGCTATGTTTGTCCCTTACATGTGGTGTTCCCATGTGGAAGTCTTGTTTGTGCTCTGCTCATCGTGATCCAGTATTCGACTCCTTTAGTGTTTGATTCTGGTGCTGTTGAGTTTTCTGTCCTTCTTTATTGGCAAATAAGAGAATCCTTCATTATTGCAAATTTCTTGCTGAAAGACTGTTAACCAGGCTACATAGAAAAATTAATAATTTTTTTATTCATAAGGTACTTTTAAATCCTTCAACTTCTTTTCAGCAAAGACAAGAAGTACAGTTTGGTCTTGCTCAAAATAAGGGAATTTTAATGACCTGGCATACCTGGAAATCTTGCAGAATCACAACTACCACCAGGTGAAATCCCTATATAAATCTGGTTACCTCTGAGCTTACTGATGTTGACATGTGATGGCCATGAAGACCAAACTAGCCACCAAGTGACGATGTCAAGAATACTATGTTTTTGGCAGTGCTGGAACAGGGAATGACAGACCTATGAAACAAAATTTTCTTTTTTATATTTGGGATGGAGGTTAAGCTGGTTATTTTTTGTTGAAAATATTTGTATGATGTTTTCTGTCCACTGCAAATGCAGTGAAGCAATCATTTGTGACCAGCTGCAAAAATCAGATTATTTCTAGACTCATTTTTTTTTTTTCAGGATACTCCGGCAAAAACGTTAAAAATCACTACACAATTACAATTAAGTTTCAATGCTACAAATGTTGCAGACAGTGAAGGCAATTTGTTCTCATTTTGAACATGGTAATTTTCTCTCTTCCTTTAATAAAGATATTAAGAAGCTTGTCCGTGAATATTGAGAGGATCATCTCAAAATAACAGAGAAACTTGACCATTATTATTTTCCTTTTCTTCCCTAATGGCAAAATATATTTCACAGCTGAACTTTTAATATTCAAAAAATGAGAGAAAATACCATGTTCCACATATTATTTATTCCAAGTACTTTCAATCATTCTTAGCTTTAATCTCATTTCAGTGTTTTTTGTTTTTTTTCAAAATTGTTGTGTTCATCATGGGCAACAATGGTCCGTGATGCTCTATTTGCTCAATGAGATATATATTATATATATATATATATATATAAAATAAGATACAAGTTAATTTATATTACAATGAATTTCCCATAAAAGACAATAATAAAGTGGATAAAAGCAAATGTTTAACTAAATTTTATGCATTTGGCCACTAACACTAGTGAATTGTATCATCCTTGTTTTTAAATCCTGTATACATCGATTTAAATAGCAGATACAGAGCAAGAAATTTATCAGGCATATGAAAATAAAACATTTGGACAATTTGAGGTATGGATTAAATAATAATGTCCAATTTGAAATTCCTTGATGGTTCCCCAGATCAACAAGCACCTGAAGAAGTCCTTAGGGCACAACAGCTGAAGTGTTGTAACAACAACAAAGAGGACATTAGTTAAAATGTAAATGATGATGATGTTTTTTTTTTGTTGTTGTTTTTTTAAGCGTGAAGAAAAACAACTTGAAGCAGCATTAGATGCGATCAAAAAGAAGGATTCTGTCTCAATTCTTTATTGTATCAAATTTTTCAATGATGAAAATCGAACATGAATATTCAAGCATCACATGGTAAATGCTTTCTTTTTTTATATTTGTCTTTTAAAAATGTTTTTTGTGATTTAATTTTTGATAGTTTTAATGTGTTATATTTATGGGTTAAATTGCTCAATACCAGGGATAGAGCATATGTTAACTTCAATGTCCACTTTTATATATATATATATATATATATACAGTGTAACCCGGATATAAGATGAATTGTATCAGGGACCGGAGAAGAAGTCTCTTATATCCGAAATTTAAATCTATTTATATACATTAACACAGGCTCTAATTTGGGACCAGAAAATCTCTCTTATATCCGGGTTTCTCTTATATCCGGTTTGGTCTATTTTTGTATACATTAACACAGGCTCTAATTTGGGACCATAGAAAATCCGGTATTTTATTATACTGTATATTTTTTTTTTTTTTTGTGGATATTAAAACAAAAAACGTTAAAAATCACTTTTTACAATTTTCAATTAAGTTTTTTTGGGTTTTTTTTTTTTCAATGTCTACAAATTTTGCCTTTATCAGTGAATTATTCTCCCATTTGATTCCACCTTGAACATTATTTTCTCTCTTCCTTTAATAAAAGATATTAAATTAATATTTCCGTGAATATTGAAAGGAATCTTATTAAAATAAGTAGAAACTTGACTAATCATTTTTTGACATGAGATATTCGTCCTAATGTTCCATATATATTCATTTTTTTATAACCTTCTTTCATCTTTATGTTATTTCTTAGAACATCAAAAATTTTTTAAAATCATTAAAATCTATTCCTTTTATTCAAATAACTTTTATCTTTTTCCATGAATAATCAATCAATCATCATCATGTAAATTTATATCTGTTTTTTCTAAGGCAAAAAATATGTTTCATCTGATTGGATAACAATGTGCATATTTTCAAACACATTATATTTTCTAAATTATTCAATGAGTTATATATATATATATATATATATATATATATATATTTAAAATGACTGACTAGTTTTTTATTTTTTCAATGAATCCATTAATACTAAAACCTTATTAAACTTGCTAATTATTTAAAATAAAATCCCTTCACTAACTAAATTTTAAAAAGTATTAACCTGCTCTAATCCAAGCTGTGATGAATTTTCCCATCATTGCCATTGTTTTTTAAATTATAATTCTATAGAACCTGGTCTTCTTTAAATATGCAAGTACTGGATTAGATGGGCTCTCTGAAATTAGAAATTTTTTCTTTTTTCTCCAAATTCAGGTAAGCATATCTATGAAAAAAACATAATTTTTTTTTATGTTTTTTTCTTTGTGTTATTGAGATTATTCAGATACAAACTTCTTCAGTGTGTATTTGCAATGTCTAAGGTTGAATTTTGAAAATTTAAGTTTCACCATTTTTTGCACTAATACTGACAATTTAAGAATTTTTTTCAATTGTAAATGTTTATCAATGTGGCATGAACTAAATATATATATATTTATATATGTGTGTGTATATATATATATATATATATATATATACACACACACACGAGTTTGATTAAAAAGAACTGAGAGGGTCTGTCTGTTTAATTCTTTATTGTATTTTTCAAATTTTTCAATGAGGTCTTGAGTATTGTACTTGAAATTGTGAGTAAATTGATCATAAGAAACTTTCACATTATTATATGCATGCACATACACCCGAAAAGTTACAATTGAAAAGTTCTCAGCCCAAACAATAAGGAATTTAAAAAATAAGTTACATTTGCTGGTTCAGTTTGGAATAGGTTGAATCAAAACCATCACCACTCTCCTCCTTGTTTTACTTATTTATGTTCAAAACTTGAAGCTTTGTGCCAAACAGTGTTAACCCTTTCATTACTCCATAATATTTGAATATTAAATGTAAATAAGGGAAGTCTTCTATGTGAAGTGGAGGTATCTGGTAGGCTAATGTTTACCCAGATGCCATAGACTATCAGTACTTGCCCTAGCCTAACTCCATAATATTTGAATATTAAATGTAAATAAGGGAAGTCTTCTATGTGAAGTGGAGGTATCTGGTAGGCTAATGTTTACCCAGATGCCAGAGACTATCAATACTTTTCCCTCGCCTAACTCCATAATACTGGAATATTAAATTTTAATATGGGAAATCTTTGTGAACTTGGTGAATCTGTGAGCACACAATGTTTACCCCTTATTTGTATACTATTAGTACTTGTATGTAGTTTATTATACTGTAATATTAAATGTAATTAGTGGCAGTGTGTTATATATCATCAAATAAGCTCTCTGTTTGTTTTTAACATTTTCATTTTTACTGTTTTCTTTTCTTAATGTTTTTTTGGGTTTTTTTTTTTTGTAGGCCGAATGTCCTTGATAATTTTGCCTTGCTTTCTGGCCAGCTGAACTCTTTGAGTCGTCTGCTGAAAAGCGAAAAGATTCCACCTTTGAAAAATTATGTTCTGCTTCCATTGGCATTATCACCAGACAAGGATCTTGATCTTGAGGTTAGCACCAATTATATTTATTTACTAATTGCCAATCTGCATTGAAAGATACCCAATTTGAGATTCTCTTGAAGAAACGAGTATTTTCAAAGACATACAAATCATTTTCATTGACAATGGCAGATATTCGACATTCTCTCAGTGTTCCATTAAATAAGGAGTAAATTGCACTCAGCCACCTTCTTTCCACGAACTGTTATTTGTGGAACAGGCTCCCAGGATTTTTTCAAAATCATTACAATCTTGACCTTTTAAGTCTAGGGTTAACTGTTATCTTTCTTGAATAATCTAATGAACTTCACCTCTTACCTTTTCTTCTGCTCATACACCACAGCATACAGTAACCCTCTACCTTGAGTGACTCTTGAGCTATGTATTGGGTGAACATCATTATAAAAAAAAAAAAAGACATATTTTCAAACACATTCATATTTTCTGAGTTACGGTTCAGTCAGTTGTGTGCCATGTGTGATACACACTTAGGCGATCATGTATCTTTCGATACATGACTGACAAGGCAGATTTTTTCCCTCAGTAGGTTGCCATTTCTTTCTGCGGTAGACAAGTTGCCATCTAAGGCTAGAGAACCTAGTCTGTCTTGCTATTTATCCATAGCTGGGGGGAGAAGAAGAGGATTCATACCTTTCCCAAGGATATTAGCAAGTAAGGGAATGTAATGGATTCAACTGGAATTCAAACACTGCTCTCCAATTCCTCAATCCAAGCCGCTATCCATTACTCCTTTTTCCCACTGTAGGTTGCCATTTCTTTCTGCGGTAGACCAGTTGCCATCCAAGGCTATAGAACCTGGTCTGTCCTGCTGTTTACCCGTAGCTGGATTAGAAGAAGGGGATTCATCCTTTTCCAAGTGAATGTAATGGATTCGACTGAAATTCGAACTCAGTTCTCCGATTCCTCAATCCAAGCCGCTATCTATTACTCCAAAACAAGAGACTTGATAAATTTCTTTTTTTTTTTTTTTTTCTTTCTTTTACTACTTTCTCCAGATTATTCTCCCACAATTCAGTTCTTCACTATCCGGCCTAACTTAACTGTATTATCTGTCTTGTAGAAAGATATTTTTATTTTATCAACACGCTTATCACATTGAAAAACCGGTTCCTATACCATCACCAAAGTTAAGCAATGTTGAGTTTGGTCAGTACCTAAATGGGTGACAACTTGAGAATACCAGGTACTGTAAACTTGGATGTGTGGGCGGTGTAATGGATAATGGCTCAGAATTGTTAATCAGAGATCCAAGTTCCAATTCCCATTGGGTTTGTTATATTCACTAATGTGCAAATACTCTTGGGAAATGTATGATCCCACCTCTTTTTCCACTTTCCAGCTATGGGTTAATTAGTAAGACTTGTATCATGGTTTAGTGATATAGGTCTTACTAATTAATCCATAGCTGGGATTCATTCCTTTCCCAAGGGTTTTTGCCTGTAAGTGAATATAACGAAACCAATGGGAATTGGAACTTGGCTCTCCAATTAACAATTCTGAGTCATTATCCATTACACCACCTGGCTTAGATCACCTGGTATTTCCAAGAGATCACCCATCTAGGTCCACCCTGTCGACTGGGGCTGTAGAATACGCTGACTGCACTTCTGCAGAGGGGTAAGACCCCCCCCCTTAATGAGGCATCCTGGGTAAGACGATAAACTACGTCCAACAGCAAAGCCTCTGATCTGAAGGTTCTGAGGCATGTGGAACCACCTCTTAATTGCTGGTGTTCCCAGGTCCACCCTGACCTGGGGTGGTAGCACCTGTTAGGGTCCCAGCTATAGGCAAATAGTTAACCCTGAAACTGGAGTCAAAACAATATGAAAGTGTAAAAATAGCTTTTAATACCAGAAATACTTTGTAAACAATTATCAGCAATAAATTTTTGAAGATAATAAAACTATTACCAGCAATACATTTTTGAAAAAAAAAAATATTACCAGCAATACAGTTTTGAAGGAAAAAATTATTACCAGCATTAAAAATTTTGTTGGCATTAAATAACCCATTGAGGTTGATATGCCATAAAACAAACCAGACCAATCACCCATCTAGGTATGGCCATGCTCAGCATTGCTTAACTTTGGTGATCATACAAGAACCAGTGTTTCGACGTAAGCCAAAATATAAAATCGGCAAATCTACAAACTGTGATATTATTTTTTTTTTTTTTTTTTTTTTTTTTTTTTTTTACCCAATTAACTTTGGCCATGAGGGTATGTGGTTTTGTGGACATTCATCAAACGCTCAATCATCTTGTATGGCTCTAAGTGACTCTTAGTTCCCCCACGCAGGTCAGGTATTTATATACCTTCCTGTTGTTGTTTTGTGTGTGTGTATCCTAAGTTCAGCTGGGTTGACTTCCTGTTTTTTTCTGTTGGCACATTTCCTGATATCCTGTGAGGCCCAGTTCTGCACTTGGAAGTGCATCCAGCAACAAGGTGTCCTGGGTATGACGTTAAACTACATCCACATCCTGGGTAAGACGATAAACTACGTCCAGCAGTAAGGCCTCTGATCAGGAGGTTTTGAGGAGTGTGGAACCACCTCTTAATTGCTGGTGTTCCCAGGTCCACCATGACCCGGGGTGGTAGCACCTGTTAGGGTCCCAGCTATCGGCAAATAGTTAACCCCGAAACTGGGGTCAAAACACTATGAAAGTGTAAAAATAGGATTTAATACCAGAAATATTTTGTAAACAATTATCAGCAATAAATTTTTGAAGAAAATTATTACCAGCAATACATTTTGGAAAAAAAAAATATATTACCATTAATAAAAATCTTGTCGGCATTAAATAATCCATCAAAGTTGATATGCTTTAAAACAAACAAAACCAGCAACAAGGCCTCAGATTGAGAGATTGTAGGTCTTGAGGGGCATGAAACTACCTCTTAATTGCTGTTGTCCCCATGTCCACCCTGAACCGAGGTGGTAGCACTTGTTAGGGTCCCACCTGTCGGAAAAATAGTATTTTGATTTTTGTTTGGTAGCTCATGAAGTACAGAAATATATTATGGTAAAAATACCAGCAATATATTTATTAAAAAAAAAAAAAAATGACCAGTAACAATACATTTTTATAGCAAAATGACAATACAGCACTAAAGAATGAAAATACATTTTTATACTAAAATTACTAGCAATAGATATATCTACAAACTATATATCTAAACATATGTTTCTCCTGAAAGCATAAAATTATGTACAAAATATCTAGTTGAAGTCATAAAATTGCATACAAAATATTAAGATTTCAGTATTAAATAACCTATAGAGGTGCTGATATGCCACTAAACAGCCAACTAACCCGCACTTGGTGGCATCTTGACCAACCCTTAGTGTTCCTAAATCTTTTTAACTTTTGAGGTGATACAGAGTACAAAACTTACTTTGGTATTTCTTAGGGTGTACTCATTACAAATTGGGGTCACCACAGATCAACTCCTCTTAGATAAAAGATCCCTGATGTTATATTAGATTCATACTTTTGATATTTTCCTGACATGGATCACATGCTACATTTTTTTTTTCTCAGTTTAGATAATACAATTATTTTCTAACCATTTATTTTTATTTTTTTTATTCATATTTTTTTTTTTTTTTTTTTTCCAGAAACTCACAGAAGGCCGTTTGATGATATTTAACCATGAAGTTGTGCCTGTCTACCTTCGTACCAAGCCTGAACCAGAAGTTGAAGAAAAATTTACTGAACTTACTTGCAGAGTTGGCATTTCAGCCCATGATAACCCTCAGGTAACTTTATATTTTATGTTTCTTACAACAGACAATTGATTATTTTGTTTGTTTTTTTTTTTTTTTTTTTTTTTTTTACACTTTATCAACCCTTTTTAGGTTATTTAAAGCCAAAACTTATTTTGGATTGTAAGAATAATTTTTTTTTTTTTTTGGTGAGTGAAATGATTTTTTGAGAATAACAACAATTTTTTTTCCCAGATACATGTCTTGCTATTTAACCCATGGCAGTGGGTAGAAGAGATGGATTCATACCTTTCCCATGGCTATTTGCACATCAGTGAATGTAACAAACTTGTCTGTTTGATTTCTTATTCTGAGCTGCTATCCATTTTACCACTGACAACAGAATTTTACCATTTTCCCTACCCCAATGTGTTGATGATTTTAACCAAAAGAATTGGATTAGAAAATCAAGTCCAAACACTATTTGGGACAGTTTGCATTCACTTACTTCACCCTTTTGTTCCTGAAAAGGCATGAAACTAGTTTCCTCACACCCCAATTATGGGTAAATAGTAGAGTGAATATTTGGTTGTGTCTCTTGGAGTATTTTTCACTGACTGGTCAGCTTCACCCCATAATGATTCTTGTTTACACCAGTGTGAACGAAAACAAGGAGAGACCAGGGGTGTGCCCAACAAAGTAACGGACATCAATCTGTTGGCACAGTTGGGAACAGAAAGCACAAATTTTGTTTTTCAGTATACTTAGTTCTTTATTCATGGATTTAAGCAATGTTGAGCCTGGTCAGTTTTTAGATGATGGACTTCGGAACACTGAGTACTGTAAGCAACTACCTACAATCTGAAATATGTTTTGGCTTTAAATAACCCACCAAAGGGTTGACAAGCCATAAAGCACAAATCTTGTTTTTGATATACTAGGTCCTTCATTCATAGATTTACCTGAAGAGGAGCTAATTGACACAGGAAACAATTATAATAGCAAATATCATTTGCCTGAAAATTGGTTTTTACCAAAAGCGTTAGATCAAATTTTCTCTTCGTTGAATGGTTCGCTTCACAAAAAAATTAAATGCGATCTGTTTTATATCTGAATACTGCATTTTTAAAAAAATTATGTATCATTTAAAAATTTATCTGTTAATTCAATTATTGTTTATTTACAATAATGAATGCTTTTTTCTCCATAAATTCATCACTAAAGTTTTCATTTACAGAGTGCAATGAATAAATTGTCGTCTAAATAGCACAAAAACGAAAATGACACTGACATCTCATTCTAACAGATATATTTATGAAAACTGCACAAAAATATCTTGAAATACAAAAGAGTAAATTTATTCAATAAAATCGCCATTGGCTTCAATCATGACATCCAGATGACTTCGGAATCTCTTGCAATTCTTCTGGGTGGTGTTTAAGTCTCCTTGTTTAGTTCATCTTTGGTGTTAATGCAGCTAATAATCCTTGCCTTTAGTTCATCTTTGGTGTTACAAGTAGTTTTATTGGTCTTTCTCAGCTGCACCCCATTCAGTTCTTTTTTTATAAAACAATAATGCCAATAATCACCATTAGAATAACTCTTTCCAAATCCTTTTTGTAGTGAGTTAGAAATGGTCAGGTTCCGTGCCAAAAGTATAGCAATCATTTCTAAATTTTCTGAATTGTCATGGATGTATTGTGCAGTTGACTGGGTTCTCCTACTAATAATGTTTCTTAATATTTGGATTTCATTCTTGGTAAAAAAAAAAGTCCTGTATTCCTAAAGTCTGCACACAATAAATAGTTATTTTCATAATGAAATTTTCTACCTATTGAATTGAAATATCAAAATACCATCTTCAATGATGCATCATTTGCCTGTGTTGAGTTTGAAGGCCTACTCAAAAAAAAATTCAGTTCTTTTTTTTGATTTTCATTGAGTACAAAAAAAAATCTGAGTTTTCCAAAACCATGTTTAATCCAAAAAAATACCATATACTTCATTTCCTCAATCTCTTTTATTCCATCTTCTATCTTGTTAAATAAGTTAAAAAATTAAATAAAAACCTCTTTTCTCAATGATTTAAAGTTCTAGTTAAATAATAACACTATAAAAAGTTTGTCCATCTTGGTTGTCCATCTTGGGTAAACTAAATCTGTGTCTTGGGTAAGACAATAAACTACATCCAACAGCAAGGTTCCAGGAGTGTGAATCAAATAGTTAACCCCTGAAAAGCACCTGTTAGGGTAAAAAAATTGAGGAGCACAAACCACTATTAATTGAAAGTGTAAAAATCCGGTTTTAATACCAGAAATACTTTGTAAAAAAGTTATTATCCATAAAGTAAAAATAGGTTTAATAAAAAAAAAAAATTTACCATAATAAATTTTTGAAAGAAAAAAACTATTTTTGGAAAAAAAATATTACCAGCTATACATTTTTGAAGGAAAAAAATAATTACCAAAAAATAGATTTTTTGATGAAACAAAATATTACCAGCAATAAAAATTTTGTCGGCATTAAATAACCCATTGAGGTGTTGATATACTGTAAACCAAACCATTATTTACTAGATGGTACAGAATCCCCAATATGCACTTACATGCCAAGAGAAATTTACAGTGAAACATATATTATTAGTGTGTAGATTTTGATCTAGTGTGAACAAAATATTACCAAGTGAGTAATTTAAAAAAACTTTATGAAAATAAAACCATCCAAGAGTGTAAATTTCCTAAAAGAAGTTGGATTGTACTCCTAAATGTGTGTAATTGAAAAATAGTTCAAATATATATGTACACATACACAACTTTTTTACTAAACTATCACTATAAATCTATTTCAAAATTTTGTTGGCATTAAATGACCCACTGAGGTTGATATGCCATAAAACAACCAACTAACCAAATCCCTCTCGTACATGATGCTGTTGTATTGGACGCAGGATAATTTTTCTGGG